CTTACTGTGTTACTCTGACCTCTCCCTGTGCAGTGCTGAAGGAAGTCTGACGAATGGTGACAATTTTAGTAGGGAGTTGAGCACTGTTAGGAATCTTGGTGGTTTTTCTGTCATCCCCTTTCATTGTTGAAATTACCACTTACTTCATCAAATGTGTGGCTCCTGGATGACTTAGTTGCTTTTTGAGTTTTCTTTTTTCTCTGTCAGATCGATTTTTGGTTAGGAGCATGGTGCCAACATTAAAATGCGTTTAGCATTGTTCTAGGGAAGAAGAGGAGTCACCGCTTTTAAAATGAAAAATGTATGCTAAGCTTTTGGGGCATTTGACAAAGGTGAAGGTGAATGGGAAAAGGTCCTCAGCCTTTTTTCTTGTAGAAAATGCTCTAATTATAATAGATTGACATTCATCTCTGAAAATAAGGTTACGTGCTCTGAGTGAGCAATTTGGAATGGAGAGAATGAGTCTACCAGAGTCTTCCTGTTTTTAGTGAGGGAAAGCCACCAAGGACCTTGCCTCCTTTTTGGACACAGACTCACTTTCATATAATTTTGACCTTGCACAGACTCTCTTTATGCATCGTCTTATGGGGCGGGCAATATATCCCTTAATTCCTATCTTTCGAGATGAGGGCACTGAGGCCAGGACAACTGCCCAAGATCCTCCTGATGTTTTTTGTAGGCTAGAGCCCACCCGGGATCCTGGGTTAGTCCTGTGCTTTTTCCTGAAAGATGTTTATTGAAGATAGTAAATACTATGTGCTTAATTCACTCCCCTTAAAATCTTTCGATTGCTCCCCACTGGATAAAGACCAAACTCCTCAAAAAGGCTTACATAGTCCTTCAGGCTGTGACCCAGCCCCAGTCATCTTTCTCACTTCTCTCATGTTACTTGCCTCCTTGTGTTTGTACCTTCTATTTTCTTTCTTCCTCTCTCTGTCCACTTACTGAACTCCAGCACATTCCTTATGAGCCACTTCCCTAGAAGGACTGGCTTGGACAGACTCCCCTCACTTCTCTCCCCTCTGTTGGTCTCCCTACAGTTAGGTGCTCTACTTTTTTGCTCCTGTAACCCTTGTCAAGACTTTTATTACAGTTTTTATTATGATTGTAAAAGTATGCCGGTATTATCTATCTTCTGTTTATCCTTTAGTGCCTGGGACCTAGGATTTGGTAAGGATTCATTTAAATGAGCTTTGTCTCTCATAAATTATCTTCTCCCGGTTCATGTGAAGACTTCAGCTAGCTTTTGAAGCTAACATCTTCTGCTTTAAAAAAAAAAAAATTAAAAAAAAGTGTGTGTGTATGTATGTATAAATATATACATATATAGCTTTGGAAATGACAAGGCTAAGAATGATGGATTTTTTGTTGTTGTTTTAAGTTTAAGTCACTTTCTGCCTTTGTATGTGTTTGGAGTGGGTGGGGCAGGGCATGTGCATCTACACCCAGAGAGATCATGCAGGGAATGTGGTGGTAGCAGCCAAGGAAAGCCGTTCAGGGGTGTTATCATCAGCTGGATAATGGCGAAATCCTCTGAGGGCCTTACTGTTTGGAGGCCTTATACGTCCTTACCCCACCTAAAAGCCACACACTTGAGGCAGTAGATGCTATGTCTGGCATTTGACTCTTCTCTGCCAATCTTTGTGAGGTGGTGGCTATGACCTTAGTTCCTAATCCTGTGGCTCTAGATATATTGTACATTGACATGTTGGGTGACATTTGTGGTTTCTCTATCATCAATGCATTTGACCTGAGTCAATATCTTTGGTGACAATTAATAGAAACCCTCACTAGCTATTTTATGCCGACAAGGGAATTTATTATAAAGATACAGATGTGACTCATGGAACTATGGGTCAAAGATGTGGTTGGGCCCAACAAAAACTGGGGAAGCCATGAGAGTCCAGGCCATTATTTGTGTGGCCAAGAGGCGGGCTTTTATCTCTCATATCCTCTTCATGTTTCTGTTCTCTGCAGAACAGCTTTCTCTGCTTCTCCATATTTGTGGCCAAATTTACAGGTCTCTAGTTTAAGCAGCAAGCTCGATTAGCATCTCTTAGCCCTTTAGCCAAATTAATAGGAGAGAGAAAATGATTAGCCCATGTATGGGTGTATCCTTAGTTTCCCCATGCAGTTGCCTGGGGAGGAGGTAGTTTACTCCAGGAGGTTGTAAGAGCAGGAACAGTAAGTAGTCTGGGGAAGTGGGGTGGTGGAGTTGGATAGGACAGAATCCTAAAAGAGAGCTCCTGATTGTTTTGTTTCTGGAATGTAAAGAAAGAATTTCACTAACCAGTTAAAGAGTTAATGTAGGTAGTTTTGGATAGTATAACTTCCTTCTGCTGACATAACAATAGGCTAGTCTTCTCCAAACTTGCTCCAGTGTTTGAACTGAATTCCAACCACCAGTCAAGATGATCTCTATAGTTTTCCAAAAGCTGATTGAATTTAATGAATAACTTTACTCTCTTCTCAGGGAAAAATTATAGAACCTGTCAAAAATAATTGTGCTTTAATTTAGTTCTTTGCCAATGACAAATGATGAGAATGCTCAACAAGAATTTCTTTTTTTTTTTTCTTTTTTTTCTTTAATAAGGTTGGCTATTTAGGGATCAACAAGAATTTCTAAATCACCAAAACACTCATAGCATTTACATGTGCAAGAATGGTCCATCTTTCTTAAATCCCAGAGCTATGCATCAGAATCATCTGGGGAGCATTTTACAAAATGAAAGGGCCAGCCTACATCTCCACACTGAGTCCATAGGCTTGTGGGGGACCTGAGAGTGTGTAGTAACAGGCTTCCCAGTGATCTGACTTGCCCCAAGTTTGAGAAGCCCTGCCTCAGAGGGACTTGAGGTTTTTGGCATCTCCTGAGATGGAAATTGCAGTCACCTCCAGAATAGACCATATCAATATGGGCTCTCTGGAAAAGCCATGGCATTCTTTTTCAGGCTCAAGATGGGCTTTCTAGGCCTGGTGAGGTGGCTCACACCTGCAATCCTAGCACTCTGGGATGCTGCGACGGGAGGATAGCTTGAGGTCAGGAGTTCGAGACTAGCCTGAGCGAGAGTGAGACCCTGTCTCTTACTGCAAATAGAGAAATTAGCTGGGCGTCATGATGTGTGCCTGTAGTTCAGCTACAACTACTTGGGAAGCTGAGGCAGGGGAGGATCCCTAGAGCCCAGGAGTTGGAGGTTGCTGATGCCACTACATTCTACCCAGGGCGACATAGTAAGACTCTAAGAAAAAAAAAAAAAAGATGACCATCTAGTGTGTCTCTACCTTAGCTGTACCCAGTTTTCTTCTAATACCATATTTGAGTCTGAATTAACAAATTTAGAAAACTTTTCACACTCAGAATTTTCTACAAAAAATCTAGTTTTATTTGTTAGTAAAACTTGTTGTGTCTTGTAGAATTTTCCACAGTCAGAATTTGATTGATTGCTTACTCATGGTGTGCATTTAATATGTTTCTCTGTCTTAGTATTTCTTTTTGTTTTTTTTCTTCTTTAAGAAAGGATATCCTTTTATCATCCAGGCTGGAGTGCAGTGGCACAATCACAGCTCATTGCAGCCTTGAATTCCTGTGCTGAAGCTGAGACTACACGTGTACACTAATATTGGCTCATTTTTTAAATTTTTTGTAGAGACAAACTCTCACTATGTTACCCAGACTGGTCTCAAACTCCTGGCTTCAAGCAATCCTTCCATCTCAGCCTCCAAAAGTGCTGGGATTACAGGCGTGAGCCACTGAGCCTGGCCCTCTGGTTTCGTATAAATTGGTTGATTGGCATGAAACTTCAGGCAGACTGAGGTTAGATATTTTGGCAAGAACACTTCATAGATGGTGTGACAGACATCATTACAAGGCCCATCTGTCTCTTTTTGTTAACAGTCATGTATAGTCACTTTGGTCCGTTAATTCATTAAGGTTTGCTAATTATCTTTGAATATCCAATAAACACAACCTAAAATAGAGACACTTAAATATATTTTTATTGATGAACAATGACACAGAACCTGGCCTGGATTCCCCATTAGAAGTGATTGCACCCCTTGGCACTGTCTTGTGGTTTTAGGTGGCTTAGAATGGGCAAAGAATGTTCCAGCTGTCTTTACTGAGTACTGGTGAGCTACAGAGTAGATGGATCAGTGCTGACTTGATACATTCACATTTTCCTGCCTTCACGCCTGCCCATATGTGATTTTCTCTCAAGAACACACAATCTCCTCTTGCTTCTAACCTTTGATTCTACTAGAGGGAAAAGGGGAACCACTCTGCGGCATGTATTATACTGTCTTTCTGACTCTGATTGAGCTGCCTTGCTTTGCTGTGTGGTACTTATTCCTTATAAGGAATGCCTGCCCCTGCCCCTTTGTTGTCAATCCTAAATAATTAGTTTAATACATTGACTGAGTACAGATACAGGCTGCTGTAAAAAAAAAAAAAAAAAAAAATACATTGACTGTCCCTAACTTGTTGAAATTTTCTATCTTCCTTTAGTTAAAAACACTTTTAGTCCAGTCGCGGTGGCTCATGCCTATAATCCAAGCACTCTGGGAGGCCGAGGTGGGTGGCTCGCTCAAGGTCAGGAGTTCAAAACCAGCCTGAGCAAGAGCGAGACCCCGTCTCTACTAAAAAAAATAAAAATAAATTAATTGGCCAACTAAAAAATATATAGAAAAAATTAACTGGGCATGGTGGTGCGTGTCTGTAGTCCCATCTACTCGGGAGGCTGAGGCAGAAGGATTGTTTGAGCCCAGGAGTTTGAGGTTGATGTCACGGCATGCTAGCCCATGCAGCAGAGTGAGACTCTGTCTCTAAAACAAAATAAGCAAACAAAAAAAAAACCACTTTTTGAAAAAGTAACTAGCTTGTCAAAAAACAAAGAGCTCCTGAGGGTATATGATATTTAATATGTGTATCAAAAGCATGGATGCATGTTGTTAATGTTGAACCCTTAAACAAAGAAAAATTATTACCCTCTTTTCTCTCTTAGGAAATTCACACAAATGAAAAGGAAGTAACAGAGAAGGAAGTAACACTTCACTTGTTGCCAGGTAACCGTCATGTTAGCATCATAACCCATATGCAGCTCAAAGCCAGTGGTAAATTACATCAACCAAATCTTGCTATATATAAACTCTTTTGTTTTCATTCTCTTGCATGTGACAATAGTGAGTTGGACAAAAATATCAAGGTCTTTAGTTCAGTAACTGCACACCTGGGTCTGAGTATTACAACATCTATAAAGAATTTTTCTTGTTTCCTCTTCCCCCAAGCTAATGAAAATAAACCTGGGAAATTCTCACCTCTTTCACAACAAATGAGGCCTTTTTCAGGTCATCCTACTTGGTTCCATCTAGTCAGTATGTTGGTTAAGAAAATGTCAGTCCCCTAAAGAGTCTTACATCCCATATCCTCTTCCCGCCCTTGAATGGTGCGGCTGCCCAGGCCTCCCAGGGCAAGCTTTCACGAGTGGGCTCACCCATTGGTCTATACTTGTTCATCTGAGCAGCATGTACAGGGATTCTGGGGTTTACCAACCCTGGAACCCTCAGGGCTTTGCACTTCAGTCTTCGGTCATTATGAAGGAGCCTGGATTGGTTGAATATTTTTGAGATGGAGGAAAGTGACTGTTGCTTAAGTTACAATCATTTCGGAGTTCAGGAACAGAAACTACTTGATGTACAGGATATTCTGTGATCATTTGTGTATTTAATTCTTTTTGTACTTTCTTTTTCCCAATCCAAAATAACTTTTTTTTGATAAGTTTTTTAGGTACATTTTTCCAAAACAATAGAGGTTTCATTCTGGTACTTTTTGTTTTATCCCAGTTTATTGAGGGGATATGAATCTCTGTAAGTTTCTGTCTGATCCACCTTATTTGGTAAAATATATTGGACTCCTATAACTTCTTTTGATATTTTAAATTTCAAAGGCTTTTTTTTTCTGTAATGATGACCTAAACCTTAATTCATATCTCCTGTTATTTTCCCTTTTCTTGGGGTTATAGATTCCAGAATTAACTTTTTTTTTAGCTTAGTGTTACGTATATTCTCCCCTCTCCTGGATTCCTTGATGGTCTTTTCTAGGTGTGCAGTGGTGAGTTCACAGTTAACTTCTCTGAGCCTCAGTTTCCTAAACTAGTCTAAGGTCATTTCTGGCTTCCAACTCTCATGATTCCAGACTCTGTACCTGGTACAAACAAGTTGATTATTATGGCACAGCATGCTGTGTTTGCAGAGGGTCTCACAAGGAATGTTTGTTAGCTAGTGCATGCTAGTATCTGGTCTCTAGTACATGACCGTGGGAGGGGACTGGCCTGGTCTTGGAGGGAACCTTATTAATAAAAGCTGTTTCACATTGGGAATTGAAAGCACAGGAAGCCTTGCTCACATGTCTTCTACCTTAGGCTTAGCTGAGACATTTTTTCTGGGACTATTTTAAACTCTAATGAGGCCCTGACTTCATTGTTTTCTTCAAACTCTGTGGTCTCTCCAAAGGCTGACCTAGTGACAGAGCCATCTTCTGGTATTTCCTTAGTGTTTTAGCTGGAGGTAATTAACCCCTTGAGAGATGGGGAATTAAAAAAACCCAAACACCATAATATGAGCCCCTTCCAAGTGTCTGAAACTTTTGTTTTTATATTGAAGCTAAACTAAATGAATTTTGAGCCAAAAAGTAAACATGAAAGACCTTGAAGGAGATATGCAGAGGGAGATTATGAGGTGAAGATGGTAATCTGCTAGATGAGAAGAAAACTCCTTTTTGGTTTTTTTAGTTGCAAAGCATTTATACTTAGTTTTTCATTTCCCCCATAGTCTTCTCTTCTCTTTTTCCTGCCTTCATGGGCTTCTTTGCTTCCAAGGAGCAGAGAATACTTACCTGTCCCCCAATATTAATCTTTATAACCGCACAAGAGAAGTGCTCTGTTTCCAGGCACTGCAGCTTCTCACGTGGGCTGGACGCCCAGATCAAGAAGGTGACACATGGAGAGGAAATACTCTCCACTAAGAAAGAGAGGAAACAGTTTTTTTCCCACAAACCTCTGACCTCCTTTTTCCTCCCAGCATGGAGCCAGAATGAGGGTGGTCATTCTTCAGGAGACAGCAGCACCTCTTATGTGTGAGGAAACTGCCTGGAAGCCCTGGGGCTGGGGCGACACCCTGCTCTCTCCTAGCAATTCCATCATTAGAAATGGCCCCCCTCACAGGAGAGTGGGCTTGGGTTCTGCATTGTGGGGCATGCCAGCGGGCCTGTGTGTCTGCTCATTTAGGGTATTGCTTCTGTGGGACATCTGCCTAGGTCAGAGCAATAAAAACACTAACATCTATGCTTGAAAGTGCAGCTGAGATCATTACCACCTGTTGGGAAACTTCCATTATTCCCAGTGAAAGACAGAAGAACTTGTCCTGCGGGAAGGTGTGTCTGAGCCATTTTGATTTCACTTGTTGATGGTTAATACTCTGCTTCATCATCTCCCCTATATTTTGGCTTCATCATCTCCCCTATGTTTTGTAGCTCCTGCCATACCAAAAAGTATAAAGTTCTGAAATGCTGCATTGTATTGTGTTTGTCCTTACATAAATAGGGCTGAAAAGCTTTCAGTGTTTGCATACTGTACATTTCCTCAGGACTCTAAGGAGCACTTGTTTTGATTTGTACCAGGTGAACAGCTGCTTTGTGAAGCCAGCACAGTACTGAAGTATGTCCAGGAAGATTCTTGTCAGCATGGGGTCTATGGGAGACTTGTCTGCACAGACTTCAAGATTGCTTTCTTGGGTGATGATGAATCTGCATTGGATAATGATGTATGTATGAGCTGCATTTGGCTGAGTTGGGGGCAGCAGTGTAGTCGTGGTTCTTTTTTCCTAGCTTCTCAATTACTCCACCCCCCAATACAGAAACACAAAGGACAGAAGTACTGTATATATCAGCTGCATTTGGCAGAGTTTGGGGAAAACCGTGTAGTTGTCAATTTGTCTTTTTCTCAGCTTTTCAATTACTCCCCCCAGCCCCAATAAATACAAACAAAAGACAGAAGTTCTTCTCATCACTGGCCTGCTCTCTGTCCTTCAAGGTCTTCTTTCAGCAGTAGAACCACTTAGAAATTTTCCACCTGTGCCTCATGCCGTGTTGGCTTGCTTTGACCTCACAGGTTGACACTGTCAACTTTTTCTTAAAAATACTAGTTCCCTATATTTTCTTTATACTTAAACTCATCCTCAAATTCAGGAACTAAGTTCAATAATGAAACTGGTATTGAATGCCACCTTTGATTTTTATGTTTAATCTGAACCTAGTAGCAGTGTCCTAGTAAGACTGGCCTGTACTTAGAAAGAATGAGCAGTTGAGTAAAGAGAGAACTGCGCACACTACTAGGAGAGCCCCATATGTTAGTGGAAACCCAGCCAAGAGTCTTTCTGGCACCCCTGTGCCAGCCATGTCAGACCACCCTTGCTCTTTAAGCAGTAACATTGGTGCTGCCTCTTCCATCTGCTCTTGGTTCATAGAGTGATACAAAAACACCATTTACCAGAAACTGGAGTCTCTCTGTATTTTCTTCCTAAAGCTAGCTTCAGGTAGCTCCATCAGTCACCTATTCACATTAATGTGGAGAAAAGCTAATCTGCACATCATTTCCCCACATGTCTCCAAGTGATCATGTGTGGCATGATGGGTTTGCCTGAGAGCAGCCCAGAAATGGCATGTTCTGCCTGAGTTTGAAAAATGAATGCTCACACACTTCACTGTCCCTTTCTTAGAGATGTGGCTACATTTCCCCATTTTTCTTAATACAAGTGAAGAGTGATTTGCTCTGCCCATAAATGTTTAACCATGCACAGAGAGGAATCACAGTTGTTTTCTTTTGAATTTTTTAGGAAACTCAATTTAAGAATAAGGTTATAGGAGAAAATGACATTACACTTCACTGTGTTGATCAGATTTATGGAGGTAAGTATCAGTTTTCCCTGGGGCATTACCAGCCTTTGAAAGAAAGGATAGCTGATAATGATGATAATAGTTTTATGACCATTTATAATTTACTAAAATTTTTTCACATATATTATCTTGTTTAAATCAGCTTTATGGATAAAATTGAGATGCAAAGTGGCACTGAGCTAGAGCAGCTTGAACTTGAACTTGGAACCTGTTATTTCTAATATTTCACACATTGCCATTATATATTACATGTTGATTGTACTTTTGCTATCAGTGTTAGCTGTGTAGGTTTTACTTTACAGGCTAATTTGATAAAGGTCTGTTGTATTGCATTAGGATATCTTTTCTGCTGACTAAACAAGCCTCTCCTGCCAAGCCTCTCTCTGTTCCACTTCTCTATTTTTGTATTTAGGACATTTTCAGAAGTCATTAAGTAACCATTTATGATCTCAACACCAGTAGGTGCTGAGTGGGTGCAAATTCTGGGACATGCAGGGAGGTGTCAGAGTTGACTATCATGAAAGCATGTCCCTAGCAATCTCCCTCCCATCTTTTATAATCTCAGCTTTAAGAGCTAAGTTTTCATAAGGCCAGTGGAGTCAGTTTTGCTGACAGTGGCCAGTCTGCCTTGGTCTTGTGCTTACTCCAGAGGAATGAAGAGCCCTAACTGCACACAGAGGGCCAGGCCCCTGCTGGAGACATTCACTCAGAAGGCAGGCAGCACCTTTCCTCTAACTTTTGAGATGTAACCTTGGGAGTTAATAGTCTACATTGTTTCTTTAGCATTAATTTATTGCCATAAACATAATTTTCCTTCCTGATTTTGTCATTGATCTGTAGTGTTTGATGAGAAAAAAAAACCTCTCTTTGGACAATTGAAGAAGTACCCTGAGAAACTCATCATCCACTGCAAAGACCTGCGAGTGTTCCACTTCTGTCTGAGGTACACAAAGGAAGAAGAAGTCAAAAGGGTAACTAGTTGCATGTGTTTTTAGGTTTTATTTCCCATCAGGTTTTCCCCACTAGCTCAAGTGTTTGCTTACATTGCATGAAGGTTTAGGGTAGCTATTCACTCGGTGAAGTTGAAATTGGTTATAATCCCATATTCTTTGATTAGCATATGAGAGGTAATTTGGGAAAGCATGCCCATGGCACATGGTACATTTAATCCTTCAATTCATAATGTTTTTATTCCCACAGCTACTAAATGGGAGGTGGTAAACCAGGTCAGGAGGCGCGTGGGAAAAAGGGAAGGATGGCACAGCTAAAAGTTTAGCCCTCTTCCCCTACCTCTGACAGCCTTTCTAAAACATAGTGGCAGTGACTTTTACAACTCCCGTGAGTAAATGAGTTCACCTCTGGGAGGTCGTGGTTGTGCATGGAAGGAAGAAGTATACAAGTCAGATGAGCAAAGCTACGTCATCAGATATGCTCTTGGAGACTAACCTTAATCTCCTGGTTGCCACAGCAAGTTGAGATATGTAACTGGACGAACTCAAAAAGTGGCTGTATCAGATATTTATTGTAACCTCCAAGATTTCTCTTACTGAGATATTGAGGGTCTCAAATTAGCAAGAGGTCAGTTCATGTATATTGTCTTGGCTACAGTGAATTATGGATACTTAGAGATAACTCCTTAATTTTCTTTCATTTAGTGTGATAATTCAGTTAGAATAATAAACGCAACACTGGTGTCTATTCTGAGCAGGAAAAAAGTGGTGTATATGTGGAAAATTCCCTGAGAAGCCAGAAACTTCAGTTTGATTGATGGTTTTAGTCATCTGTCCAAACATACTTTTTTTTTGGCATGATAGGCCAACAGAAAGCATGACAGATTGATTTCTTTCCCTCATCTTCTTAAAGATGTTCTTAAAGGCCACAACAATTAGGTCAGAACAGCTAAGTGTCTTGGTTATTATCTGATGTCAGCTGTCTTTTTTTTTTTTTTTTTTTAAACGGGGTCTTGCTCTGTCTCTGGGCTAGAGTGCAGTGGTATCATCATAGCTCACAGCAACCTCAAACTCCTGGGCTCAAGCAATCCTCCTGCCTCAGCCTCCCGGGTAGCTGGGACTACAGGCATGCACAACCACACCTGGCTGATTTTTATATTTTTTGTAGAGACAGGGTCTCACTATGTTGCTGAGGCTGGTTATCAGCTATAAGTCTTTGATAAGTCAGAATTTTGGAGTATCTGACTTAATATGACACTTAGGATTTTTAGTACTTTGTGTTTGAGAAATTAGATTATGTTTTAAAATTTTTCCTAGAAATTCAGAGTTCTCAGGGAACCTGACAGAGTGGCTACCATTCTCCTGATTTGGCATTATCCAAGAGCTAACATCATAGATACAAACCTCCATAAGAGTTAACATGTTGTTCGTTGGAGCCCCATTAGCATGCCTGAGAACCTAGACACTTTGACTCTTGTCTCTCATAAGAGTTCATCTGTCAGAAGTGTAACCATATCTATTGGTTGGTTCTTTTCTAGATTGTCAGTGGCATAATTCATCATACTCAGGCTCCTAAACTGCTTAAACGGTTGTTTCTGTTTTCCTATGCAACTGCTGCACAAAACAATACAGGTAAGTCTCTTCTGGGTTTTCATTTGAGGGTAGGCAGGACCCTTCCAATTCCCACCTGAAACCAATGGAGGGGGGGACCATCCATGGGTGGTTTTTGGTTTTTTTCCCCTCTCTTCTCTAGCTGTTGGGGGTCACCTCTTACTTGAGAGACTCAGTCAGAAGATTTCTACTTTGTTTTTCCTTGTGATCTTTGTTTTAACTTATCTTTTAGGTTTGTTGCTTAAGAAAGATAAAATCAATATAACTGGGAATGTGAGACTATAGGGACACAAAACTGAAACAAGTTTAAAATAACTATGTTTGTCCCTGTATTCTTTTTCCAGTTAAATGTACTTGATTTCATTTCACAAGACTCTAGAGAATGTCTTGCATTCTAGAAAGTTTTTAAATAACCAGAACATGCTTTGTAGCAGATATTTTGGAGGAAATGAGACAGTTGTACATAAGAAAAGCACATCAGAAAACTAGTTTGGTAAAAGAAAACTTAAGGTTCCAAATGTTTTCCATTCACTTTGCTGAAAAAGAAAGCAATCTTTTAAGTAAGAAACTCTGGCCATCTGAAATAGCCATTAACAATGCCTAGCATTGGACATGTTTTCACAGATGTCTGTCTTCTTCCTTCTCTAGTTCTCTTGCCTCAGTCTGTTCACTTGCTCTGCCTGTTACTCTTAACATGAAGTTGACATTTAGTGATCCTGAGACTTCTGTGCTTTTTTTTGTCAGGGAAGTGGCAGTTTCTTTTGAAAGCACATAAGGCTTTGTAATATCTTTTTGGAATACAGAGTTGCTTTGTTGCTGTCTACTCATTTAGTAAACATTTATTAAATGCTTGCTGTGGGCCAGGCCTTGTGTAGATATTACGATGAACAGGACTAAATCCTTGCCCTCAAGGAACATAAAGTCAAATAGGAGAGGCATGTTAGTGGTGTCTCCTCCAAGGGAAGTGCCCATCCACCCTGGGGGAGGGGCAGACTAACAGGGAGAAGGCTGTGCCTCTGCTGATAGTGGAGGATGTGGGAGCATTTGATAGGCTTAAAAAGGAGTACTTTAGGCAGAGGGATTGGCATGTACAGAGATGTAGATATCTCAGAGAGCTTGTTGCAGTTTGGGAATTATAGTAATTAGTAGAAAAGGTATGGGTTTTGGCGTCTTTCCCATCTGAGTTCAAATCCTGGCCCAGCTGCTTTCTCATTGTGTAGTTTGAGGATGACACTTAACTCTTGAGACCTCTGTTTTCTCATTTTAAAAACAGCAGTGTTAATACTTCCTTGAAGTCCTGTGAAGATTATAAATTGTTAAATGCACGGCACATGGTGGTTAGTCACTGAATGAGAGTTAGTTGAGAGCAAACTGCATATTCTTCAGGACAGATTATGTTCAGAGAATTATACTGACACAGAATACACTTAACGCTCATATTAGGCTGAACAGAAAATTTGTTCCTTAGTTCAGCAAATTTATCTTTGTGAATGACATCTCTTCCCTGTAGCTATATATACAAGTGCTGATTAGCTGGGTACTGGCTTATAGCTGCTGCAATATGAGATATACAAATATGACTGCTTTGATTACTATAATTTATATAAACATTTACTGAGTGAGTACACATTTGAAAAATCATAGTCTATTTTTAGAAATTCTGTGTCCTTTATATCCTGATTCTTGTTCTGGACGTAGCACAGGATAGTTTCTCAGCTTGTCAGCATGTTGATCAGCGTGCCAGAATTCTGACCTTCATCGATCCTGGCGGTTTCATTACCTTCTGGTGGCTTTTCGTGCCAGAGGCCCAGGATATGTAGCACCTTTATTCTATTTTAATTCCATCCTCCTTCTCCTCCCTTCCTTCCAACCCCTATTTTTTTTTTTTTTTTTTTTTGAGAAGTAAAGGTTATGACTGATAGATGCTAGTTGCCCAGTGAGCTTTTACATTGAGTAGGGGTTTGTAGAGGTGGGTGCTTTGCAATGTGAATACCATTAATTATTCCCTGGCTTAATAATTCACAAATGAGTTTTGGCTGAGAGGTCCTAAAATATTATGACATGGCATTTTAGGCAAGTACTTGCCTGTATTACTAAGAAAATGGCCAACTATACTGAGTGGGTGGGAGTATTGGTATTACTTATGTCCATGGGGAATTTTTTTTTTTTTTTTTTGCATTAGTACTTTATGGAAATTTCCTTTATAGCTGCCTGGGTTTGAATTCCTGTTCTGTCATTGCCTGGCTCTGTGACCTGGCTAAGTTACCTGACCTTTCTGTGTCTCATCTGTAAGATTAAGGAAATAATATTACCTATTGTATTATCTATCCTATAGGAATGTGAGATTGAGTTCATAAAATGTAATATGCTCAGAACATTGCCTGGTACATAGTAAGTGCTATATTAATGTTGACTATTATCATCATCATCATTATTTGTGCTATAATCTGGTTTTATTAAAAGGAGCAGGTGGGGCTCCCCCTTCCTTCCCCCTCCCTCTAAAAAAAAAAAAAGGAGCAGGTGGTGTAGTTTTATCAAACACTTTGTTTTTCCCAGAAGGTTTGGTTTTTGAAGATGTGTAAAAGCTTAAACTTATCTGTGATAGAATTTATGTAAATACTGGAAGCTATTTTGGTGCATGCCACTCCCTACAAGCAATGCTGTGGTGAGAGGACCAAGGACATGTGTGCTGAGCTGTAAAAGCAGTGCTTCTGGCATTTTGTTCTAGCAGGTAGTGGCTGGGCTGGGTTAGGGGCAGATGTACCCATCACCCTGATGCAACCCTTGGCTGGCAGGCCCTGACCCTCACCATGACTGTCTGATCAGTTTATGGCCTTTAGTAACCAGCTGTCACACTGAACAATCCTCTTGCAGGCGGTGCCTCTTCAAACTGAAGGAGGATTTACATTCAAGAATCTGGGATGCTATTCACACCAGTTTGTCATCTTATGCACATATTGGTAGGGCTAAAAATAGTTCATCATTTTAGCATTTGTGCCAACTCTGCTTTTCAGTGCTTCACACGATCTTTTTGTGTTATAGCAATTATCTCATGGTCAGATGACTGAAAATGGAGCTATAAATTACTTTTCCAAGGAATGGAACAAGAACAGTTCCTTTCCTACGATATAAAAAGACAGAGCCTTGGTCATAATTTTGGATTAATGATCAAAAAATGAAACAAAGTTAGGATTAAGCAGTGAATCCATTCTACTTAGATAAAAATGGACCTAGTAGAGAAAACTGGGACCTTAGAAGGGACTTTCACATAATGAAAATACCAGTGCTTCACGAAAAGATTTTTTTTTTTTTTTTTTTTTTTTTTTTTTTTTGAGACAGAGTCTCGCTTTGTTGCCCAGGCTAGAGTGAGTGCCGTGGCGTCAGCCTAGCTCACAGCAACCTCAAACTCCTGGGCTCAAGGGATCCTCCTGCCTCAGCCTCCCAAGTAGCTGGGACTACAGGCATGTGCCACCATGCCCGGCTAATTTTTTGTATATATTAGTTGGCCAATTAATTTCTTTCTATTTATAGTAGAGACGGGGTCTCGCTCTTGCTCAGGCTGGTATTGAACTCCTGACCTCGAGCAATCCGCCCGCCTCGGCCTCACAGAGAGCTAGGATTACAGGCGTGAGCCACCGCGCCCGGCCTTATTGTCTTTTAAATTTTGTTTTGTTAGCCACTGATCCCAAGAACCATACAGTAATGTTTGACACACTTAAGGACTGGTGTTGGGAACTGGAGCGGACCAAAGGTAACATGAAGTACAAAGCAGTGTGTGTCAATGAAGACTATAAAGTCTGTGAGAGGTAAGCTTTTAATGCTGGGGACATGCATTCATTTGAAGTTCACCCATTTGAAGTGTATAATCATTTTTAGTGTCTTCACAGGGTTCTGCAGTCATTATCATAGTCAATTTTAGAACATCTTCATCATCCCCTCCAAAAACACTCCATACCTATTAGCAGTCACTCCCCATAACCCCCCTAAAAACCTCTCTCTTCTCTTTCTCCCCTGCCTCGGCAACCATTAGTCTACTTTCTGTCTCTAGATTTGCCTGTTCTGGACATTTCATATGAGTGGAATCACATAAGATGTGGTCTTTTATGACTGGCTTTGTTTGCTTAGCATATTTTCAGAATTCATCCATGTTCTGGCGTGTGTCAGAATTTCATTCTCTTTTATTGCCAAATAATGTTCCAAGGTACGAATACACCATATTTTATTTATCCATTCATTAGTTGATGGACAATTGGATTGTTTTCACTCTTTGGCTCTTCTGAATAATGCTGATATGAGCATTCATGTACAAATTTTTGTGTGGATATGTTTCCATTTCTCTTGGCTATATAGATGCCATATAAACACTCTGTTTAACTTTTTGAGGAACTGCCACACTGTTTCCAGACACTGCACCATTTTTACATTCCCAACAGCTGTGTATGAGGGTTTCAGTCTCCACATCAAAACTAACTTTTTAAAGAAATTTTTAAAGTCTCTTAAATACCCCAAAGTGAATTTGTATCCTTTTTTTGTCATTGTTGCCATTATTGTATCTATAATCTAAGTGTAAAACTCACAGAGGCATTTCTCAATTTATATTGTCTACCTTCTTTTTATATTGTATATTTCTCTTTTTTTTTGAGACTTTGAGACAGAGTCTCACTTTGTCACCCAGGCGAGGGTGCTGTGGCATCAGCCTCGCTCACAGCAACCTCAAACTCCTGGGCTCAAGCAATCCTCTTACCTCAGCCTCCCAAGTAGCTGGGACTACAGGCATATGCCACAGCGCCCAGCTAATTTTTACTATTTTTAGTAGAGATGGTCTCACTCTTGCTCAGGCTGGTCTTGAACTCCTGAGCTCCAGCAGTCCTCTTGCCTTGGCCTCCCAGAGTGCTAGGATTACAGGCATGAGCCACCATGCCTGGCCTGTATATTTCTTTTATTTATTCATTCAACAAAAATTTTGAGTTCCTACCATGTGCCAGGCAGTGTCCTAGCTACTAGAGATACAGCTGTCAACAGAATTCCTAAAAACCTGTGCCCTCCTGGGGCTTTCATTCTAGTGGGAAGAAGACAATGATAGAATAAAGAAGTAGATTATAACATATTAAAGGTAAGTGCTGTGGCGAAAAACAGATTAGGTAAGAGGTTAGGGAGTGCTGGAGGGGATGGAGGGCGTGCTGGTCAGGAGGTTTGTGTGTAAGTAGCCTTTGAGCAAAGCCTTGAAGGCGGAGAAGCATTGAGTCAGAGGACACCTGAGGACAGAGCATGCCAGGCAGAGGGAAGAGTAGGGGCAGAGGCGTGTGTACAGAGTGGTGAGGAGCCTGGGGAGAAGTGAGCAGAGGAAAGAGCAGTAAGAGATGAGAGTGGGGAGGGGAGGAGGCTGGCTGGTGACGCCCGGAGGCTTTTGACTGACCACGAGGGGAGCTTGAGCAGAGGTGGGACGTGATCTGACCTACATTTTTAAAGGATGACTCTTCATAATCTGTTTTTAGAAACTTGAATCTTATCATTTTGGACCATACTTCCCAGCACCCTGCTTACAGTGTTATAAAACGTTTTTTGTAGAGCTCTTTATATTCACAGTACTGATAGGCCTCTTCAGATCAGTTTTGATTTCGATCAATTGCAAACATTTGCAAAGTTAGTGTCCCCCCCCCCAACCCATGCCCCTGTCACAGCGTGGGCTATAGTGACAGTGGGGAGGGGCCTGCAGGGCCCTGAATGGCCCCCGCCTCTGTGTCACTGTCAGCCCCAACCTGTTCTTTCCTCCTTCCCAGTTATAAAGCTCTCCCCCTACCTTGCTTTTCTGTCCTACAGGATGCATGATCCAGAGAAAGCTGTGCCTTGTTTCTCCCTGGACCACTGTCATAGTTGGCTGCACGGTCTCCCCCGTGCACTCTGGTCCCCAGCATCCGTTCTCCACGTAGGAGGCCAAGTGGGCCTCTCCACACGCATCTGGCCATGCTCCTGCCGCAGTGGCTTCCCACCATTCTTGGTACGGTGCTCCAAGGCCCTTCATGGTTTGACTCCAGTTTTGTGTTGCACCCCTCTGGCCATGCTGACCTCCCTGCCACAGGCCTTGCCTGGCAGTCTCCTGTCTGGAAGTGCCTTTTGCTTGTAGCTGCACAAATATAATTAACTCTACTTCAGTGGTCAGCTCTCAGCCCAGGTGCCACTTTCTTAGCTTTCTCAGGACTAGGTCAGGTCTCCTTGTGAGAGCTTTCACTGCTCTGTATGTCCCTCTTCATAGCACATCCTGCAATCAAGAGTTCATTTTTATCTGTATCATTATTTGGTTAATGTTTGTTTCTGCAAACTCCAGCTCTATGAAATCAAGGACACAGTCTGGTTTTGCTCATTGTTTACCCTCAGTACCAAGCATAGTGCCTGGCTTCTAAGCGGTGGACGGTAAATAGAAGAAAGAATGAATAAATTAATGAGAAGCCCATGAGTAGTTAGATGGGGAGACTCTAGACAGTTTGGATTAGACTAAGAAACTGAGTGTCTACTCCTTTCTGTAGGCCAGAGCTGGCTGTTCAGTACCACAGGTCTATTTCTTCTCTTTTTTCATTCTCCTCCTGAAAAACCTTTCCTCATCTCACCTCCCTGTAATGATATAGGAAGGTATGCAGCCCTGTGGGGTGTGTACGACACAGAGGGACCTATGAAATGATGCCAGCACAGGAGGAAGACATTGCTGCTTGGGGCTGTGCCTTAGTGGATCATACAATTTTGTGTGAATAAAATCATGCTGTATTTGGAGAGGCTGTTTACCTTGTAGTCTAAACTCATCCTAATGACTAAACTACTTTCCAAGGAGAGAGGGTTAATTGCTTGTATCCGTGGGGAATCTCACGGATACGAGCACAGAGACTCCATGAAATCCAGCTGGAGTTGAGTGGGCAGGAGAGGACAGCCTCAGAACCCCTCACTGGGTGCAGTGTTCTTCCTCTCTGTACAGCCGCCTCCGCTGAGTGAGGGATGCTGCATTTGCTAGTATACTTGGTTCTCTTGGTTTTGGGGGTTTTTTTGAGATAGAGTCTCACTTTTCTTCCTCTCTGTACAGCCGCCTCCACTGAGTGAGGGATGCTGCATTTGCTAGTATACTTGGTTCTCTTGGTTTTGGGGGTTTTTTTGAGATAGAGTCTCACTTTGTTGCCGAGGCTAGAGTAGTCATCATAGCTCACTGCAACCTCCAGCTCCTGGGCTTAAGTGAGCCTCAGCCTCCCAAGTAACTAGGACTACAGGCATGCACCATCATGCCCAGCTAATTTTTCTATTTGTTTGTAGCAACAGGGTCTCAAACTCCTGACCTCAAGCGATCTTCCTGCCTCGGCCTCCCAGAATGCTAACATTACAGTCATGAGCCACTGCTCCTGGCTAGTTCTGACTTTTTTGAGTGAAAAACTCTTAGGAAAAAATTAACTAGGGAACTAACATTGTAAAATATTCATCCTCACTAATTAGGGAAGGCATGCAAATTTTTTAAAACCATTAGGCCCCCCCTCAGCTTTGTAGTGTGAGCCACTGAAGAAAGAGCTTAGAATCTAGTTTAAACAACTCTGCAGGTGACTGTCCTGAAAAGGTTGAGAAACAGTGGCCTATTTGTAGGTTACTGTCTACAGTGCTGCTTCTCACAGTTTAGTGGGCATCTGAGTCACCTGGCGATTTCGTTAAAATGCAGAGTCTGATTCAGTAGGTGGGGTGAGGCCTGAGAATCTGCTTTCCTTATAAGACTCCAAGTCATACTGCCGTATACTTTGAGTAGCAGGATCTTCTAGAATAATGGTTTTCATCCTGACTGAATACCTGGAGAAATTTTAAGCTTCTGATTTAATATTCTGGGGTGGAGCCTGGGCATTGGTAGTTATTTAATCATCTCACTTGATTTTAATGAGTAGTCTGAATTTGTGAGCCATTGATCTGTGAAGACGTTTTTACTTCATTGACTGCACCTGCAGAAGGGGAGCCTTACCAATCACCCATTCAAGCAGACAAATAAGAAAATATTTGTGTGCTTATTTGAAGAAAATAAGCACTTCAAAAGCCAAGTATTCTTCACAGTTTTGATGGTTTGAGGCATCTTAGCATTGACCAGTATTGCCAAACCTGGTTTTACATCACAGTCTTGTGGGAAGTTTTTTTTTCTTAACTACCTTTAAGGATTTTTATTTTAAATTAAAACTTTCAAGCAGTATAAAAGTGGATATGATGAATTCCCTTTTACCCATTGCCCAGACTCAGCAATTATTAACTCATGGGTAATCATGTTTTATTTATTTATTTATTATTTATTTATTTATTCATTTATTTATTTTTGAGTCAGCGTCTCACTCTGTTGCTTGAACTAGAGTGCCCTGACATCAGCCTACCTCACAGCAACCTCCAACTCCTGGGCTCAAGCAGTCCTCCTGCCTCAGCCTCCTGAGTAGCTGGGACTACAAACATGCGCCACTATGCTCCGCTAATTTTTTCTATATATTTTTAGTTGGCCAATTACTTTCTTTCTATTTGTAGTAGAGACAGGGTCTCACTTTTGCTCAGGCTGGTTTTGAACTCCTGAACTCGAGCAGTCCGCCCACCTTGGCCTCCCAGAGTGCTAGGATTACAGGCGTGAGCCACTGCGCCTGGCCAGTAATTGTATTTTATACCTCCACCTGCACCCCCCCACCCCCCCACCCCCGCGCTTTGGATTATTTTGAAATAAATCCTAGAGATCAGGCAGGGCATGGTGGCTCACGCCTATAATCCTAGCACTCTGGGAGGCTGAAGTGGGTGGATTGCTCAAGGTCAGGAGTTCGAAACCAGCCTGAGCAAGAGTGAGACCATGTTTCTACTAAAAAAAATAGAAAGAAATTAATTGGCCAACTAAAAATATATAGAAAAAATTAGCCGGGCATGGTGACACATACTTGTAATCCCAGCTACTTGGGAGGCTGAGGCAGAAGGATTGCTAGAGCCCAGGAGTTTGAGGTTGCTGTGAGCTAGGCTGACACCACGGCACTCTAGCCTGGGCAACAGAGTGAGACTCTGTCTCAGAAAAAAAAAAAAATCCCAGAGGACATGACATTTTATTCATAAATATTTTAGTATATATCTCTAAGAATTAAAGATTAATTCCTTGTAATTCTTATTAAATATATATATATAACCATAAAACCATAAATATAACCATAAAACCATTATTATACCATTCAAATTTTATAGTAATTCTTAAATATCCAGTTAGGGTTCAGATTTTCCCCAGTGTTTTATGAATTGTTATAGCAGTTTCTTTTTTATCTGTGTTATTGTTAATGAAGACTTAATGAGATTGCTATTTTGCAGTTAGTTGATAGGTTTGTTTGTTTGTTTGCCTTTTTTTTTTTTTTTTTTTTTTTTTTTTGAGAGACAGGGTCTTGCTCTGTCACCTGGGTTGAAGTGAAGTGTCATGATCTTAGCTCACTGCCTCTGCCCTCAAACAATCTTCCCTATTTTGACCAGTTTTTAATGGGATTTTTTTTTTCCTATTGTGTTGTTTGACTTCCTTAATTTTCTGGATATTATTCCCCTGTTGGATGAATAATTTGCAAGTATTTTCTCCCATTCAACAGGTTGTCTCTTCATTCTGTTAATTACTTCTTTTGCTATTCAGAGTTTTTAGTTTGGTTGTCCCTTCTATCTACTTTTATTTTTATTGCCTGTGCTTTTGAGGTCTTAGTCAAATTCTTTGCCTGATCAATGTTCAGGGGAGTTTTCCTTAGATTTTCTTCTCATATTTTTATAGTTTGGGATCTTATGTTTAAGTCTTTCATCTATTTTGAGTTGATTTTTGTATGTGGTGAGAAATAGGGTCCAGTTTCATTCTTCTGCGTGGGGCTATCCAGTTTTATCAGCACCACATATTGAAGAACATATCCTTTCCCCAATGTAAGTTTTG